TGTTAGCCCCCCCCCCCACCACCACATCTCCCTGACTTTCTAGCCAGTTGATCAGCTGTGAGTAAAGGTTTACTCACTTGCTTGGGAGTAGGCTAATTGTCCGACTTTAATGTCTGACTCCGTGTTTGATTTGGTGTCTGAGAGACCATTTTGCAGGTGATAAAATAGTTTATTTTGTTTTGCAGGTTGAGAAGAAGAAGCAAGAGGAAAAGATGAGGAGGGATCAGTTGAACGACAACTTCCTGGACCTGGTGGAAAAACAGAGACTGTACTTCAAGACAGTCCGAGACTTCAAGGAGGTAAGACACCAGTTTTATCCTGCTTTCTGCTGCCAGTGTTGGCATTGCTGTGTCTCATGCTGTTTGTATTCAGCAACTGTTGTTTTCAGTGCTGTTCATGATATGATACTGACAAATACCCAAAGGATAATATACTGACTAAAAAATGATACTCCACATAATGATGTCATTTATTTCTTGTCTTTTTTTACTTTTCACAGGAATGTCGAAAGAATGAGATCCTCCTCTCCAAGCTTTCTGCCACAAATTAGTTCCTTTTAAAAAAAATATGTAACAAATTAAATCCTACCGGCATTTATTACCTAAGTAACTTTGATTTTGTTGAAAAATTTCTTGGCTGGTCTATGTTTGTCTCCAGAATTAGCGTAGATATCCATAGTACTTGACCTATGTAGAATTCTTCTAGTAGAACTTGAGCACTTATATTTTTAAAATGTCTCCCCCCTGCTGTGTTCATCTGTAGCTCCTCTCTAGTCGTTTTGCCCTCATTTGACCCAAAAGTTTGGCAGAAATTATGACATCCCCAAGCCAAACCTTTGGATAGTTTTTTCTCCTTTTTTTAAGGATTATTTGTTGAGAAATAGGGCAGTAGCAGGTTAGCCTTTGAGATGTATGGGGATAAAATTGCTCCGGAACTGTTAGGCCAAATATTTCTTGCTTCCAGAAATTCAAGATATATTGACTCTTTTTGTACTTATCTGTTAAAATTCTGTTAATCTTTCATGTAAAATGAAATTCAATATTTTTGTAATGCTAATCGTCCTTTCTGCAAAACCTTACTCTATCATGATATTGCTCAGAATGTAGTGTCATAGTTTCTTAGATTTGTTTCCCTTTTTGAAAGGAATTCGGAAATTTTCAGCATTATCATTGCTACCACAAACAGCATAAAGCAAATTATTTAAACCAATGTTCCAAAGTAACAAATCTAATTTAATTTTCCACCGCCTGAAAAATGTATTTATGAATGCAAGTACAGTTTGAGAAGACCAAAGCGTTTGTCCACATTGATATTCTTATTCTAGATTGCATCAAACTACAAAAAAAATAGTTGCTATTAATCCATTTGCTTTTCCTTGTCATATTTTGGTACTTGCTCTTTGACACCGAGTGATACTTTTATTGTAATCTGAAAGCAAACAATGCTTCCATCCAACAATAATTTTGGTTTATCTCCGAGTTCTGATTCTTCAAAAAGATTTTTTTTCCCTAATCATTAAGTAAATTGTCTTGTATTTTTTAGTTATTGTGATGGTTACAGAAATTAATGCATCGATTAAAATAAATCATTGCCAGTTCATCGTACAGTACAGATACAAACGGCATCCAAGTGACTTTGCATCCGAATTTCCTCAAGTTTCTTGAAAATGGTGTGGTCAAGTTGCATCTTTATCGTGTGCTTTAGGTTGAATGGAAGCGTACTTGGCAGTTTGAAGGTCCACAGTTGCCAAGTAAATCTGGCAAAAGAATTAGCGCGTCAAGTTAGCTGTTGGAGAATTTGCAAAGACGTGATGTAAGGCTTTTGTTTACAGAATTTATCGTCATCTCGTGATCTTAGATTTAAGTTTTCTTGCATTATTATTGGCGCGGCGAGGGGGACAAAGAGTAAGTTTTATAGAGGGCGCTGTTGATACAGCGATAAATTTGGTCAGGTCCCCTAAAAGCGTCATGTGATGTAAATGACAGCTATATTCGGCAGTTGGGAATCCGACGCCGTGAAACTCCACTAAAGGACGTGTGTTTTCTGAAACTGCCGACAACTGAAATACATTGAAATGGAGTTTTCTGCAGAAGTTCAAGAGGGTCTGCAGCTCGCAGGCAACACAGCACATATCCCTGATAAGTCTTTCAAATATTTGCTGGAGAGGGTCTTCGAAGATATCTTTAAACGGCCGTCTGCGAGGTTGTTGAAAGGTGGGCGTTTTCTGAGCATGAGCCGTGTTACTTGTTACGTTGTTGGGCCTACTTGTTAGTTGGGGCCTAGGCCTACTTCATACTTGTTCATAGCTGCCCAACCATCGGACATGTCGGAGCATATTTAGCGTAAACTAGAACAGGTGTTCATTACCTTTAGCACCCTTTTCCTATAACTTGTTTAGGTAAATTGTTTCGGAAAAGCAGAATTTGTTCCCTTATAAGTTATAGGAACAGGGTGACGGTAATGAACACCATTGCCTAGGCCTACATCCATCATGCCCGTAGGAAGTTGACATGCACTGCACGTCATGCATGCTGAACTATTAATTATGTTAGCCTAACAACAGGCCAAGTCATTATTTACCATTGAAAAATGCCCATTCCAACATATTCTGTTCTTTTACCAACAGAAGATGGAAATTTGAAATCACTGGATGCTGCGGTTGTGAAACAAGCCTATGCAGCACTATGTACACTAGCACTAGAGGGCGCCAAACATGACGCCAATTTATCAAACTTAAGGTAAAGCAAATAACAGATTTCATAACTGAACTTCTGTGCTTGCACCTTTCTGTAAGTAATGGTCAGTATTATATTATTAACAAAAAGTAATGAACTCTAAGAAGCGAAATAAATGCCTCTTTCTGGTAGATTAAGAGTAGCATCTGCAAAACAGGAATTTATGAAAAGCAAATGAGCTGAAACAAATGGGGAAAATGAATTGAAAAATGTTGCCAGCGAAAAACTTACGAAAGTTATCACTGTGACGAGTGAATGATTTATAATTGATGAAAATTTTAATTCTCATCAGTTTAGAAGGGTAGTTACCAATTTGTTTTTCATGATTTATTAGTATTATATCAATATCAATGTGTATGTGCAGCCCACTATTGGAAGACTGTAAATGGACCACAGATAGAACAGAGAGTTTTATCAACATCTTTCTGGATCAGAAGGAGACAGTCAGAGTCCTCCTTGGCAACATCAGGCAATCCCATCCACACATTGTTGATGTAGACTGGAGACTAGACTACTACATGAAGGTACGGTGCATCATATGCCTTCCAAACGAGGACCTCAGCCCGCAGAGAAATGATTGTTTCGTAATTATAGTTACTTAACCAAAAAAGTTTAGAGCATTTAGGTGTTTGTAAAAATTGTGGTAAAGCTTCCACTTGGTGAGCCATATGTAATTGACATAGATGTTTAACATGAGCTAGATTTGCTGTAAAAAAGGTTAGATTCATATGAAGCGGTGAGCTATGGTGGCTTTGCAGTTCTACTCATATGTTTTTGTTCTGTCCTTGCAGCTACTGGTGTGCATTTGAAAGCTGCATTGTCTAATGGCTTCCAAAGTACATGTATTTCCCAAGGTGGAAAATACGAAGGTTTACAATCAGACATCAGTGGGTCTGAATATTGTGTCAGTGTTCTTTTTGTCATTGTCAATAGAATAACCACAAGGACAAAGTGAATGAAGCATTATACCTCATCACACTCAAGACAGAGGAAGGGGACCTACAAAGAAAAACAAAAGATATCCAGTTCTGTTGCTCCCTTGAACAACTCCAGGTGGGTGGTTTCATGGAAGGGGAGGAGACAGCAGTTTTGTGGGGACGATCAATCTCTGTGTGTCGAGCAGATTTCTGCCCTCTGAGGAAAAATTCTGTTTGTTTTTGGAAGTTATTGAAATTAAATGGTTTTTATCCAAGACGTCCAAAAGACTGAACTGGCTGAAAATTCGATCATTCCCAACTCAAACTCTCGTCAAGAAGTGTTCAATTTCCAAATTTCGGACATATGGTTCTGACTGCACCATTATTTGAAGCTTCAGAGGTTTAGAGTAATTGAACATGACTTGCGGCGTGGAACGGTAAATTGCACTTTGGTGAGCACAAGGTGATCTGCTTAGCATAAACTTTCCCTGTCAGCGTTCCTGCTGTTGTAAGTCACAGAGGGTCAAAAATTCCTTCCAATTCTCTTGCTGAAGTACATGGACATATAAACATGAAACTGATTTTGACCGACACGGTGAGTCTTTGCACAGGAGGGGTTATGACCTAGTGTACTTCAGTCCTTCAAATTCCAAGTTCATATCAGATTTAATTTTTAAAAATAGCATTATTCATGGGTTTCACTCCATTCCACTATTAAACACATGACAACAAGCCCAAGTTATCAGTACTCGCTGTGTTGTTCACATGAAATTCCTCCTCATGCAGGATTTGGTCAGTAAGCTGAAGGACGCCACCCGGAGTCTAGAGAAGGCCAGTTTGTCGTGAGAGCTACATGGGCTGGAATAGATATTTCTAAGCAGGCAAGAAACCGTAAAGCATTTTGATAACTGGGACATTCCCCTTGCAAATGGCCTTAAGCCTAAACCTGCATCCAGGCAACATGAACCGTTCAGTGAAGCAGCCAAGATATTGTGAAAGAAAAGGCAAGTGCAGTTCTGACTGAAAGATTGTCTCACGATTCTCATGTTCCAGAAATTGAGTAATTTGCATTCACATCCTCTTTTTAAGTTGCAAGCAGACATCAATTTGCACTGTGATATATATTCAAAATTTCATATTTAAAAAAAAATAGAATTAGTTCTAAATAAATTTTGACCAGAGAAATACCACATTTAGTTGTTCAAAAAATGCTTTATTAAAAATCTGAATACTGATGAATTCAGTCGATTACATCAACGTCTTTAAAAGACTTGAAGCTTTCATCTCTTTACAAATCTCTTCACAAACTTTCCCTTTCACCTTTACAAAATAATTCACTGTCACTTTGAAAATTATATTGCACCATGATCAACCCTGATTTAAACAAAATCAGTGTCAGAAATGACTCTTGTGAAGGTTTTCAATTATTTTGTCTTTCCAATTCAATTTGCCTATGTATTAAAGAAAAGTATTTGAATATAGTCAGGTGTAGTTCCACTGAAAACTTTGAAAATAGTTCGTAAAACAAAACGTGGGTATACATCGCTAACGAAAAGTGCAACTAAGCTTTCCTGTAACTATGCACAAGTAGACTGGTTAAATTATTTTGGTTTATTACCGTCACCTGTTCTGTCAAGAACTATGTAAGTACTGTCTCATTGTATGTCTCTCCATTTTCAAATTTATCCATTATGAAATTGAGGAGAAAATATGTAAACTCTACAGTTCTAAGCAAAACATATGATAGCATAATTTCTGATGAAACAGACTTTCATTGGAAGACAAACTTATTTTTGAAACTAATCCTAGAACAGAGCCCTGTGAAGGCTTCATCTTGGTTCTAAGTATTGAAGACAGTGCACGTCCACTGTCTGAAAAGTGCCAGATTTAGTACGACTGTTCACATCTAGTTTGTCAAAACTATTTTGGTTTATTACCTTCACCTGTTCAGTGAAGAAGAAATGTGTCATTACATATCTCCCTGATGTCAGATTTGTGCATTTTCAAATCTAGGGAAACATTTGTAAGCTCTAGTTCTAACTAGGCAAAGCATATGATAGCAGAAATTTTGATAAAACTGATTTTTGCTGCTTTTACAATGAGCAAGCTATTATTTTTGCTGTAATTTTTTCCTTTGAATTGGAAGACAAACTTGTTTTTAGAACTAATCCCAGAACAGAGCCCTGTAGAGGCTACGCCTTGGCTTCAAAGACTGACAACAGTGCACTCACAGTTTGCTTTCAGTTCGTGTCAGCCAGCCGAACTCCTGCACCACGAAGGGGGGAAAAAAGAAAAAAAAAAAAAAATTACACCACAAGATCGGGAGCATTTCAAGATGAATCGGGGGAAAATGTATCTAGCTCTTGGTATACAGTGAAGAAATACTGGGATAAACCTCACTGGCCGAGTGGGGCTGGAGAGGTGGAAGATTCCAAGCATGTTTCAGCATACCTGGCTTTTCCTCATGGACTGGGGACTCACAGCCACATTAATGACCACCGGTTTGTCAGCGTATGCGGTCTGGCTCTCCTGTAAAACATTCTCTAGTTGGGAGGGGGTTGTGACAAAATAACCCTTCCCACCGAATGCTTCCATGATCTTCTCATAGCGTGCATCTGGCATAAGCCCAGTAGCCGGAATGCTAGGGAGTAAAGGATACAAAGAGAGAACAAAGGATCTGAATGTTGATTTCGCAAATACAGTATTCAGAGTTGCATGCATACCCCAGTGTGTTGTCAACTGTCTTTGTTCTCTCTATCCTAGTTGTTGTTGATACGTATATGGTATTGTATATTATACTACAATTTTAAATGGAAGATTTCAAATAGATTTGAGATTTTCAAGCACTAGTCAAAAACTGCCTAGAAAACTTTACAGCGAGTGACCTTGATTATTATTATCTTGTGCATTATGCATGTTTACGTTTTGTACATCTGTTAAACGTTTCCAAGATGAAATTGTTGTCTAAAGACCACCAATTGATCTCTTCACTTACTCGATTCCTCTGTCTTTGACCTCGATTTCCCGAAACGTCTCTGCATCAATTCCCACTCCGATGCCATTGTTGTTTGCAATAATCATCAGAATGGGCAAATTGTACCTGTCACAGAAACGTCAAAGAAACAGAGAATTCAGAAGCAGTCCTTTCCATGTGCAAGACAGAGATTGGTCAAAATAATTCTGATCATGTTTCCTGTCCAATATTATCCCATCCATCCCTCACCACACAGTTGTTACCCTTACGTTGTTGGGAATGTTCGGTAGTGTACTCTATGGCGCCACGCTGTGCAACACATTACACATGTGATAAACTGTGGTTTTAAACTACACTGTCATTAGCCTGATACTATGTGGCACGCTACCAAAGACCTTCCCATTAACACTAAAGTCTGGAATCGTCCAATTTCAATGCAAGTTTTGCAAATTCCTTTGAATGATCGGGCCGGCTTGACATGAAGTTACGCCGGCCTTAATGCTGTAAACATAAGTGCCATTATGTAATGTGAAACAGGGCTTGACATCACGCACCTGCAGATTGTCTCAACCTCCATCCCAGAGAAGCCAAAGGCACTGTCTCCTTCCACACACACCACTCTCTTGCCGGGCCACCTGTCCTTGACCAACAGGGCAGCAGCAATGGAGAAACCTAACCCAACACCCATGGTACCAAACGTAGCAGCGTCCAACCTGGTGGATCACAGCATTCAAACAGGAAAGCTGCATCTAAAGTACTTGGCTATGGCTTGCAGTAACACGCACATCTATGGGAATTGTGTGTAGCCACAAGCTAGTGGCCTCTGTAGGTTTAAGTGTTATTTCTAGCCACAGCCAGAACCTTTGGACGCAGCCTTAAGTAACACTAACACTGGTGATGGATATTAGTAACCTATTTTGCACCACTTTGTGGTTTTTGTACTGAACAATTATTCTATGCATAGTTCAGTAATCAGGAATGAGCAATGCAGAAACGGCACTTGACTGTCTTTAATTATAGACCTGTTTACATGACAAGTGACTGGTTGCAATGACAGATTTTACCTGTCTCATTTATGAGTCAGGTACATGTGGACGTTTGCTACACAAGACTTGATGTTTCTTGCCAATTTTGCTCTCAATTAAAAAGAATCGATCAACAGAATATCCTGCCTTACCTGTGTCTTGGGGAGTGGTTTAGAAGCACTGTTCTCCCAATATCCATGGTATTTGACCCCTCACTGATGATGATGGAGTCACGAGGTATTAGCTTTTGCACCTGGTAAACCAAAAAAAACAAGACAACAAACTGTGTGACGTGAGAGGAGTGAAAAAGAGAAGTTGAAAGAACTGAAACTTGGGATGTTGGATTGCTGACCTTGTCCAGTGCACAGTAGAAGCTCATGGGTACCGATTGGTCAGCGCTAAGTTCCTGGCTAGCCTTCTGATTGGCCGACACTTTGCTACGGAGATTCTGCCACCACGGTGTGTCGCTAGGATACTGCCAATTGGGACTGCAAGACTTGAAGGTCTCCAACATCTTCAGGAAGATGACAAAAATTGTTTCTTGATGCATAAATAAAAATGCGTGGCCAAAGACTTGAGTAAATTCACAATCAATTTCTAAAAAGGCTTCATTCAAATGACTTATTTTATCCTCCATTCAAGATGTTACTTTCATAGCAAAGTGAGATAAAAGTCATTCAAAAGACCAGTCTTCTCATGGTAATTTTTTTCAGCCATACAAACCAAAGCATGTTCACCATAGTTATCTGACAACAGAAAACTTGCACCCAGCAAGCATGGCCATGCAATCAACATATTTAAGCCAAGCACCGTACATTAACCCTAACACTCCTCAATCCTTCACCTGTTGGAGGACTGAAGACTGTTAGGGTTAACCTGTACCTTAGTCATTCTTACCTGCTTAGTGACCGAGTTGAGGTCCCCTGCCACCCCCAGCAATCTCTCCGTCCCAATGTTGTTGCCAAGCTCCTCTGGACAAATATCAACCTTGTTGGTGCAATATGTACGAAAAACTTCATTATTAAGGCTTCATTCGCCAAGCCCCGCCCACACATCCACCACTCCCACCCCCCCACTGGCCACACCCTCTGTTCATACCTGAATAAATTTAACATCAGGATTGAATCTTGGAGGTAGTCCAAAATGAAGAATCCAGTTGAGACGTGCTCCGAGGAGCACAATGACATCAGCCTGGAGTAATGCCCTGGAAAACAACCAACAAACAAATTCATGATTAACTTGTTGAGCATCCAGACAGACAGACACACAAACAGTGGAGCCGAGGTAGACAAACAGGCTTCATTCACCACACATAATTTTTCAAAACAAGCAGATGGCCATGTTTACAATTTGGTACATTGATGATGGCGATGAACCCCAAAACCAATCAACCCTTACCTGGAGCGAGCAGCGATGACACACTGCGGATGGTCGTCCTCAACCACGCCTTTGCCCATCGGAGACGGAATGAAGGGAAAACCATACCTGTTGACCAACTCGCGAGCGTTCCTCTCTGCCCTGGCATAGGCTGCTCCTGGTTAAGATCAGGGAGTGCAATATCCACAGCATTAAACACTTCAGTTGAAAAACACAGCAATGTACATGTACACATACATTGAGTTTGAAAAACATTTAGTACCTTTGCCAACAACGATGAGGGGTTTCTTGGCTGACATCAGGAGCCGGACGGCCTCCTCAACAAGATCCGGTGATGCAAACATCGGTGGGGGTGGCTGCACCTTAGGCATAATTCTTCCAGGGAAAAATATGGAAAGAATGACTGTTACTGCACTGGTATGCATTTACAGATAGTACAAGAACTTTGATTAAACGAAATTAGGAAAACAGCGCACAGCAAATGGCATAACAGCGTATGGTTAGTCACTGCACAGAATATAACTACAACAGACCCCCTGGCATTTCGTATGAACCTTTTGTGAATTCAGTGTAATTAAATGAAATTAACAAAAAGAATAGCCTCCTGACTCCACCTAATGCAAGGGGTCAACAAAGAACAGAAGAGACTGTAACAAGAGACAGTAGACTACAGCAAAGCCAAGAACTGCTCCTTGTAGTAAAGCACATTTGGTAAGAGGTGGAAGCATTGCAGAACTATGCAGGAGTGACTAGGGAATAGCCATGTCCTGGCAGACATTGTCCCCACACCTGATGGATTCTTCAGGAACTGTTTTGTTGACCATCTCTCCGCTGATATCAATGTAGCAAGCCCCAGGCCTTCCGTACATGCTCATGCGCACAGCCTGGGAAACAAACAAGGACAATTCCTCACTTAGATATCAGACGGTGTTATGAAAAAATGATTTTACTACATATACATTGTATCTGCGAACAATGCACTCAAAACATTACATGCTCCCAACCTGGAAGTAAAACTTCAAGAGAATCTGGAAGTTCCTCGAAGCTTATAAGGAATCAAACCCATTTCTTTGAATGTAAAGTTCTGTTCCGGAAACCTACCTTTTCAATGTAGAAGGGAATCTGTCCAATGCTGCTTGCACGAGCTGTGTACTTGGCACATAGCCTAGCACTTTCAACCTATGGAACAAATACAAGTAAAGAAATTGAAAGAAACTTCAATATTTTCAGCAAATTCAAAGTATACAATTCTACTTCATCCACTAAAGGAATCACATTCTTCTTAAGTTAATAATGATAAACTTATTTATTATTCAACATTTTATTTTTGTGTATTTTAAATGTATGTTTGACAGATCCTGAAATATGACATCATTGGATACAAGATCTTCCAACCAATCAAAAATGACTTTAGTCACTGAATATTCATAGCCTACCTGAGGGTATTCCTGGAATGCTCCCATGGACTCCTGATCAACATCACTCGATCCTCCAATCACAATCATAGGCCTATAAATAATAATGCATAATTCATACAATAACTACTAGAGAAGGAAGCTGCATTTATTGAGTACACAAGAGAGGGCTTTTCTGTCTGCTGACACCAATGTGTTGAAAACATCAGAACAGGGAAGATTGCGGCTAAGCACTCGTAAGGCAGACAGCAATAGAGTCAGGTCTGGCATTGAACTCACCAACAGTTAACGGTTGCATTTGCCATTCCCGAGATGGTGTTCAGCATTCCGGGACCAGACACCACCAAGCATACGCCTGGTCTACAAAACACACACACAAAAAAGGACAAAAATTTACCATCCAAGACAAAAATGAAAACCAAGTGGACGGCATTCCACATAAATTTATTAGCATATCGAACATTTGAAATTTGAGACCATCTGCACAGACTTCTGTGTATGATTTCAATTTTCAAATGATCACAACCAATTTCTTTTGTTTCTTTTTGTTTTTACCTTCCAGTGAGATATCCGATAGCACCAGCAGCATAGGATGCCTATCCAGGAGGAAAAATTAACCATATTATCAAAATTAGTTGACAGAATACCGAGTGATTATGGTACTTACAATTAAAAACAACTCCCACATCAACTTGTTAATTTCCTAATTTTTTACATAATTCCAATTTGTATCGGTGAAAAGTCACACAGTAATGGACATCAATCTGAACACAGATTTACTCTAAGTCTTGTTTCCAGACTCACCGCTTGCTCGTTCCTCATTCCAATGTAGTTGATCCCTGCTGCCTGGATGGCCATTCCAACCTCTATGACGGGAAATCCAACAATGCCAAAGACATACTCAACATCCTGGAGGTGAAAAGTACGTGGAAAAAATGTTGCATCCTGACTCCACTTCAGCAGTTGTGTACAAAGTCTACGGGGAGTGAAGAGAATTTTCTAAGTTTTTCCCAACAACATCGGTAAATGTTTCTCAGTCCAGAATTCGTGTCTTTCCAGCATTTCTGTAATGACTGACTTTTACTGAGATGATATATGATGAGAAAGATGGAGTCAGGATGCAACATTTTTTCCCGTTAAGTTTCACAAATGCATGAAAATTGTGTGCATCATTGTACCCTTGTGCTTGCATCAGCTACATATTGTATTGTAAAAACCAACACCTTCAGACCTGAGGTAGCTACAGTACCTCCAAAAATTGTGCCATCATTTGCTTACGCCACACAAATCATTAAGTTAAAATAGGCCTACCCCCCCCACAAAGAAAAGAAAGCCTGATTGGAACTACTGCAACTGAAATACATGGCACATCGGGAGAGCATAGTGACCGGTCATGCCAGGAACCCCAGACCAGAGACGGTAACCTGCAACACACGTGAACATGCATGCATTCAATCCAACAGAAATCTGTCATGCTTGCTCAGCAATTCCAGACTTCTTGCAAAATTAGAGATTTTGTCCAGGATAGCGCAGCGCCATCGATCAATAGTGCACATCCACCGATCCTACCCACTATTCATTTGACTGTGATTCGTGTGTGTTGTGGTTGTGATTATGTGCAAACCAGCATTCAGCACCGATAAGAATGTTCCATAGAAACACTGTCATTCAACGCATGCATCATCGTCGCGATTCGCATGGAGAAATAAAACATAGCGTAACTTCTACAGGTTGGCCTAACGTTAGTATGATTTAATTCATCTCTGGAGGATCTACAGAAGGCTTACCTGGGCTTTAAGAGCCTCTGCAATCACTCTTGCTCCGTCCATTTCTGCAGAATTTGTAGGCCAAAGTTACTCGAGACTATTTTCAAGTGAGTCCAAAGTTTCAGGCGCAGGCGGCGCGGCGGCCGCAGCGCGGCACTGTTGCAGCGCCCTCAACAGTTTGAAAATGAAAGGCAGTCGATAAAGTCGTTTTTTCCTTGATACGAGCATGGAGCTTTATAAAGGATATAAGTGAACTAAACGAAAAATGTCGATTAAAACTGACATTTTATCGCAAATTATGATGTTTCCTTCGGAGATCGGAGTGACATCATAAAGTGGGAGGCTTTCAATATGAAGATGAACCCGATTCGATTGGGCGTGGCCGCAGCTGTGCTCCACCCACTCTTCCTTACCCCACCGGTTAAATTAAATCGATGTTCACAGCAATCAGCGCAGCGTGATTGAAGATCAGTTAATTTGATGAAGTTTGTCTTTTTTCATCACTGGATAACTGGGTTTTGTGCTACTGTCACTAAATCGTTCATTCTAATCAACGGACGGCTCAAGTAAAATTAAATTTAAGAATCCGATTATTATGAATCGTGGAAAGAGATAGATTCCACCTCCAGCTACAACATAAGAAGTTCAAAGAATTGTTCCGGTGGGCAACCTAGGAATTTTCGATGGGGGTCGGATCGGAATTTACCCCCTAAATACATGCAGCTCATGCGGCTCCAACCTCCCTTCCCTTCCCTCTCTATTACACCACACACATTGGCGTAACTGAACGTCTGTGACAGAGTTATTGCAAGTAGTGTAAGATGTAGGCATATGTCATACTGTCTTCTTATTTTAGAGAGAGAGAAAAACAGGAAAGAAAACTGAGGGAGACCTCAATGAACCCAAGCCCCCCCCCCCCTTAGGCGAGCCACCGTACTCAATCAAATTCTACCAATGAGAACGCAAACAACACGTCAAACCCACGTGGTAGGCTACAACTGCGCACATGCTGTGCGTGAAACATGTGATACGCGTATACGCGGTACGTCACTGACAAAAAAGGAAGGCCGGCCAGGCAGCTGCAGCTAGCTAGCTAGCTAGCTACTATATACCGACTATATACTATAGTCGCGTCGTTGCGCCGAAGCGGCCAGGAGCAGACAAAAATGGCAGCAAAACTCTTCTCCTTTCTTCTTGCCGGAATAATATGGTTTTCTACCGCGTCGGTCGTCTATTTCTTCTACCACGAGAGCACGCTACAGAGCACGAGTAGGAGGGAAATTTACCTGCGAGTTGGAGGGGATAGTAGGACAGAAAACGACGAGGGAAATTCCAGGACTCGAGTAGACTCGGACTTGGATGGCGAGTTGCTGGGCCAACTCGGCCGGGACGTTCCTCGGTTTGGCCCGGGAGAGAATGGCCAGCCGGTCCTGCTGTACGGCGAGGCAAAGGAACGAGCAAAAGACACAATGAGAATTCACAATTTTAATTTGGTTGTCAGTGAAATGGTTTCAGTGCAAAGGACTTTAGCCGATACAAGACATAAAAGGTAGGTATCCAAATTTCTGCTTAGATATGTTCTGTGTTTGTTTGTTTTTTCAAACCAAGGTGGGAGAGCGAGTCTATTCCACGATTTGTTTAGGCCTGAGCTGTTCTGTTTTTTACATACACCGTTTCACGTATTTATTCACACGAAATGTGAATTTATAGTAAAACAATAACTTGATCAATTTTCTGTGCTGTTGATACAATTCGAAACTGAATTGAAGTGTTGGCAGTCGTATTTTGGTGGGTGTTAACATTTTCAAGTTGTCTCAAACTTGTGAAAGTGATGTAAAACCTAATTTTGGTGGAAGAGAGTGATGGTTACCAACATACTGCATTGTCAAACAGTTGTATTGTGAACCCTGGTGACATCTAACTGCTCTGTTTTTTAAGCATCTGTTGATCAAAGACACCTCCAAGAAGACTGTACCGACAAAGTTCACTCACTACATCAGGGCATCACACAATTCACCTGCTCCGCCATGGCATAAATATGGAGCAGTGAAACGGAACCTGGACATCAGATTAAATTTCCTACTCAGTAAATGAGAGTATGTCCACGGAACTGCGTTCCAGTACAGGGCAGCCACCACTGGTCGCATGGCTGTCTACCCCAGGTCACAGACTGGATTAACAAGTCAGTAAACACAGAAAAAGTCACACTCCAGCAACTCAGCTGAATAGTGAACACCTGGGCATTGTCCACTGGCCATTATTCGGTAAATGGATTTATGACTCCTAAAGGACGATCAATACCCTGTCCTGGTTGGGCAGTCTTGAAACACTTTTATCCTGTCTTTGTTGTCTCTGTTTATACCAGTGAAAGTTGAAGGGGGAGGAGCCAACATGATTGAGGGGTGGAAAAACCACAGTTTGATCACTTGTGGGTTTAATCACTGTGCAGAGATTGAATAAGACTGTTTGTTGTTTGCCAACTTCAAACTTCTGCTTGCTCATCCTAAGTACAGAAAGATGATAGTGAGATCCACATGCAAGCCAGAAATTGTTACTGTTACAAAAAAAGGTGACTCAGTCTTGCCCTTTGATAGTCCTCCCTTTGTCAGATTCTGGTCGGACCTCCATTTTTAGTAAGAAAAAGCCCTGTCACCGAAATGCAAGAGGCATTATTCAGAATACTTGGCGTACCCTTTGCGCTGTATCTTTTGGATTATGGCAGGGATAATGAGACAGGATAATCCCACAGATAATGGGAAGATTATTAAGCTCCATGCTCCGTTAAATAGTTGGGTGTCCCTTCAGGGGCTGATTTTCAGGATTCTTCTGTGGACATTAACCCTAACCCCCGAGGGCGTACGTAAAATTGGAGGATTTGGGAGTGTTAGGGTTAATAAGGTGTGCATTGCTACCCTAGTACAATACTTTCCCCTGCAAGACATGTTCAAACTTGTTTTTCCAAAGTCGATAAACTGTCTCCATATCTTAATATCCGAGTACCTACAATTCTCCCTTGGTAATTTTTATTTTTGCTTATGGGAGGAAGTGTTGTAAATCGAGTTAGAGTTTAGAGTTCCCAAGCTTATTCAAATATGGTGTCAAAATTGGAACCAAGTCCACCACTGAGGCCATGATGACTGGGTGCAGGGAACTCCTTGCTAAAGACATGCCCAAATTGATTGGCTGTGGTTTGAAATACACAAGAGTGTATGGTTGTGGCTACAGCCATTTCCCATGAGCCCTGTGTAATATCAAGCCATAGCCAGATCATTTGGATGTGGTCAGAGCTTGGATTCAGCCTCAAGTCTGACTCCTTTTTCTTGGACATGGATTTTCTGTCTGAATTTTGCATTCTCCTGGTCCAAATTTTGCCAAGTATTAAAAGCCGTCGAATTCCACCTAAACCATCTTGCACTGCAGGCTAACGGATGCTCTCGTGATTCCCACCAAAAGTGGCATCACTCCAACATTTTACTTGTTGCTATCAGAAGTGAGTGACTGACTTCAGTCTGATGGCAAAGCACTTTTCCCACATCCTTCAGATATGTGGATTAGCAGTTCCTTTCTGGTTTAGATGCAACTTGGGCCATTCAAATTAAATTCGAACCCTGCAGCTTAAATTCCTGCACATGTCGGATTAATCTGTTAGTTACCACTTGCTTTCCTGTTTTTGCTATTTCCTTCAAATGAATTCCCAACCTGTTTGGAACTTGTATCCTTTCTCCCATAAAGATAACCTACATGTACATACATGTACAGTTCACAACTTCTCTGCCTACAGTTCCCAAGTGGAGAAAGCAAATATTTACTTTGCATGGTTGTGTTGTCCTGAACAAGATCTTTTTGACAGTTGGCAATTCCTGTGAAATAATTCATTGTGTGGGCTGTTTGGTTCACACTCCTATCCTGTCTCATTGCTACAAAACAAATACAGGAAACTGTGGTTTGGTTTTGACTATGAGAATAGATAAAGTTGGACTTGACCTGGTGATTCAAGTTCGTGACATGTTATCAGTGCCAAGGCTTGCTTTTAGACAAAGTGTACCCAGACATCTGTGGGACAATGGGACACAAAATATGGGTCTGATTTGTATTGTTTTATGGTAGTTTAGTCTCTGTGAGTACAGTACACTGTAGGTGGTCAGACAAATTTAGATGTAAATTTCACTTCTCAGGAGAGAAGATTTAGAATAAATGTAAAGCTACAAGCATATCAGATATTACTAGTACCACACACTATGGATTTCTCCTAAATGACCAAAGATAGGAAAGTGTTTAGGCCCTGTTATTTTGGAAGCTACTGTCCTTGGTCATGTTCCAGCTTGTCAAGAATTAACATGCCATGCCATATCAGTTACCACATTTGGGTCAAGTGTTGCACAGTACCGTTAGGCACAGCTGACATGTTTGTGAGCATATACCGCGGCCGGGGTATGTCAGATAACTTGCTATGTAGGGGCGAATGCGGGGGCAGAACTGTGTTGTCATTGCTTACAGAGTTTGGAAACTAAGCCCAAGAACAAACTGAGATGACTGACATGTTCGGGATTCTCTCTCTACATGTACATGTATATGTATTATCTTCCAGGAGTGATTCACCCTGAAAATATTCTCGCCCCTTGCACTGGAGGTGTGGCACTGGCTGCAAGATTCACCTGTCCATTTCTCATTTTGAAGGATTTTTGGAACCACCATTGGTACATGTAGATAAATGTCGGATAGCCTACAGATCCACATGCAAATTTCAGTTTAATTCTTACAAAGGCAGTGAATAGAACCCTTGCGCCCGGTACCTGATGACCATTCTTTTGCATGGCATGGAACCACTGTTTATAAAATAATCCACTTAAAATCTGTCATGTTTTCACGTGTTACATATTTTGACTGGAAACCTGTTTGCCTAGAAGGATTGCCTTTGCGACTATTTCTAATTTACCTCGGTACATGTATGTGCAAGATAAATTTAGACTTTTTAGTAATTTACCCAACAATTTGCCAAACTACTGGTAAGAAACCTTTGTTTAGCGTGACCAATTCTCAGTATTTTTTGCTTAGTACTTTTGTTCATTGACTTGGAAATGTGGCCCATTTGACATTAGAACCCTCCTTTTGCTTTAACCATCAAAAACAGTCTAAAATTCCTACCACCACTCCTTCTGCAGTACATAGACATATCATATGTGACCCGCTCTACAAAAACGGGTAATAAGTCGCGCAGTTCCAAAATATGTTACGGCCTGTACTATTTGGAGAGGGCAAAATATCTTCCAAGATGTGATTTCGTGTTTTTTCCTCATATTACCTTGTATAACATTTATGTTTTCAGAATTTGTGACTACTCACATGGATACTGATGAATAAAGATGAAAAATTGATCCTTCAGTAGGAAATCCTACATAGCATTGTGTTTCCAAGCGCTACACTTTCTGAGCTTTTTCTCGAAGAGTGCTTTTATTGAATCCGAAAATGTGGATATACAAATGTCTAAATATCTCTGGAACGCAGTGCACTACAGGGGTCAGTCATAAATCAAATTGTAGCTTTTGATGTTCTCAATCCAGCCATATCAAAACCGATAACCTGAATCTGGTGACTTATTACCCATTTTTCTAGAGCCGATCACATACATGTATGTCACCTGACTGATTTTGACTGATAGGACAACTGTGTTGCTAATTAAATACTGTAAGTGTACCAGTGTGACTTGTCTGACCAACTGTAGAGGTTTGGTTTTGCAACGGGAACTTGTAACAGTACCACTAGACACAGTGCCATTATCGGGGCACTCGTTTATCTTCAAGTGGGCAGCTCTGCAAACATGGAGTGTTATACTTGGTTATCACTGACAGGGTTGGGGTATGATCCCATAAGAGGAAGAGCGTAGATAGCAAAGAAGATTAATAATGCTACCGGTTGGGCATGCGTGTAGGACGAGAAGAAGCCTCTTCAAAGAATGGCTTTGTTGAGCTTGAAGGCAGGCTAAGATCTGTTGGAAATTGTTCATGTGATAAATAGTCAGAATGCGCCAGGGTTCTGGACCCTGTGAAAAGGTTGCTGGGGTCATTTACTGTAGCTTTGGGTACCTGTAACCATGCTGAAGGGTTTGGCTGCTGTACATGTAGTTTAATGATATGGTGTTTGTGCTGTGGAGTCTTTGCTACATCTGCTCTTGTCTATTATAAAACTGTCAAGAGTACCTGCTTGGAATATTTAGAAAGATTTCCAGCGCATCCCTTTTGACAATCGAGGTCTTAAGTTGTTTCAGTTTATTATTATAAAACTGTCAAGAGTACCTGCTTGGAATATTTAGAAAGATTTCCAGCGCATCCCTTCGGACAATCGAGGTCTTAAGTTGTTTCAGTTTATTATTATAAAACTTTCAAGAGTAGCTGCTTGGAATATTTAGAAAGATTTCCAGCGCATCCCTTCTGACAATCGAGGTCTTAAGTTTTTTCAATTTATTGGATGGGATTGAATCCATTCTTTACTCCTACTGTTCTGTTCAGAAGATGGCTGGCAGTTGAGTCAATTACCCTGATTCTTTGCCAA